GGTGTACTTTTTGATTTTTTTGTATTCTTTCTGCTTTGTCCAAGAAAGCCCTACAGCTCACTCTGGTCCAGCTTCATGTGAAGGTCTGTGCACAGGACTCTCGCGGGAGATGGAGCGGGACCGAGAAAAACCCCTCGATATAAACCACCCCATTGCGGACAGGAACCTTGAGAAACTTTACCTGAGAAAGACAAGCCACCCATAAAACACTTCTCTAGCTTTCAGGAACAAATTCCCCAGCCAGCATAACGCTGACAAGCCACATAATGAACAAGTGCGCGACTGCTGATCAAGGCAGATGCCGACCACTGCGGGAGCAGAGCAGACCAGCAACATGTTGCTCAAGCCATTCCTTGATCTTGCTCGACAAAGGGGCCCAGTGGAGGAGAAGAAATACTTCGTTAGTCAGCATCATTTAACACATTCGAACCCAGATCCAGAGCATCAAAGCTAAATTTTGCCATAAGAACATCTCCTACCTAGAAGTGTCCACCACTTTGTAAATCACTCCAGCGGGAGCAGTGGCACTTGGTATTCCAGTAGACATGAAGTAAAGCTCCCCTAAGGAAAAAAAAAAAAAACTAAACACCGCTATGAAAACTTTCCATGCAGCTTCTGTACTCCATGGAGTGCTGCTCAGCACAAAGGCATTAACTCTGCATCGCAGGTCAGAGAGCATTAAGGAAGCTGGGACTGAAGCAGAGAGATCTGGCTACCGAAGCAAACAATATGGGTTTATAATGAAAGTTCATACGCATTCCAATAGCATATAAAATACTCAATGAGTGTGCACTCTAACATATTATCATGAAATATTATTTTGACAAATTTCCACTGCCCACACTTTAGCTGTCATCTCAGTCAAATCTGTGTACTTCGACTTCAGTAATGCAAAATAATCACACCCTGAATTTCGTTTGTCAAAATACAATGGAAGGAAATTAAGACTGTTCACCACTGTCTTTGCTCTTTTTGATGAAGTGCTCCTTTGGGGTGAATTACAGAAGAAAAAGATTTTGCTTTTGCTTCCCTAGCACATTCACAAAGTGAGACGAATCTCACCAAAAAGGCATTTGGACTTGCCGCAGCTCTGTCAAGCCACATGGGTAGGGCTCGACCTTCAGCCAGACAATTTCTGTCACCATTTATTTGATGTATTTTCTCTTAACTGCGTCTCCATCCCTCTCCTCCTGTTGTGCTGCGGAGGCCAGCATTACGCTCTTGGCAGCACAAGCAGTCAGTCCCTCCAGCACTCCCCTTTCGCTTTCGCCAGCACAAGTGCTTGTGTGGCGCAACGAAAAAGGATGGGAGAGCTGATTGGGCTGAAAGAAAAAAATTGCAATGTTTAAAAAAGAAAACAGGGGAGTTGGGCAAAGGGGGCAACTAAGACCTGCTTAATGAGGGTAAGGCCAGATTTCTTTGGGCCTCCTATAGGTAGGAGGAGACCCAAAGGAGGAGGAAGAAAAGGGGGAAAGGGTTGGAGTGGTCATGGCAAGGAGTGGATGGTTAGTTGCATCTAGCTAACCTGAAAAAGGACAATAACTCTTAAACATGCACAGCATGCCCACGCCGTGCCGCAGTGAATTGACTTGGTATATTAGCTGGGCTCTACACAAATAATACTGAGCATGAAATAATTTCTTCCTTTTTCTGGTGGTGACACAGGAGTCTGTTAGCGGCATGCCAGAGGCAGCCTTGGTCCAAACAGGGATGTGAAATATGCCTGGCACTGTGTCTTGCGGTGCAGTAAGGTGTGCTTCACAACCCATGTTTCTTTCCTGGAAACTATCAGGCAGAAATATGGGTGCACGGGCCGTGAAGCATGTGGGCGGCATGCCAGATTTATCGCCGGCGTGCCCCAAGGACAGACGGCACACGTTCAAAGCACCTGGGGTGTCCCCAGCACATCCAACTCCCAAAGGATGGGACTGCCGGCTCTATAACGTGTGTGCAATGATCGAAAAATATAGGTGTCCCCATCATATAAACACAGCCAGTAAATCAGCCAGATTAATGTCCATCACAGCAACAACCCTAAAAATAAATACTTCCACGAAGAAAAGCTTGTTAAAATAAATGGTGTGGTAAACTTGTAAAACCAGACTCCTTGCACAGCAAAAAGGTGCAAGAGAAGACTGCTTACCACAGATAAAGAAAATTCACCGAACTGTTATCAACAAATTTCTTCCTATCATAATAAAATAAATATAAAGGAAATTACTCCCCCTGAGAACAGAGTGCCGGCCCACGTTCCCACCCACCTCTACTATATTTATGCAAACCGTGTGTGAAAAGCACCAAGGCAGAAGGACAGTATTTCACTCCCGCTTTGCACTCACTCTGCCCGCAGGCGAGGGACAAAGGTGCACGAATGAGGGCTGCAATTAACAGCTTGAGACTGCACCTCAAGATCCTCTTAAGTTAAAGCAGATTTAGATTAAGCTACTATTCTGATTTTAGGGTAGGATATGCTCCTCATCCTAGCACTGTGAAACAGCCAGCCCTACCTTTTATTAACAATTTTTATTAACATTATTAACAATTTCTATTAACGATTAAAGAAAACAGATTTTAACTCCAAAAATTCTAATCCTAAAGTAAAGCTCTTGAGCTAGTACCTAATTGGGTAGGGTTTTATTTTCATGATTAAAAGGGAGAGCATAATAGATACGGTTATTCCCCAACAGCCACTTCTTATATTGTCTGCACAACTGTCCAGGAAAAACAGATTTTTACAAACTGGGGCATTCTGGTAGCAGGCGCCTGTGATCAAAAGCCAACGGACTTCCCCGACAATGGGCGAGCAACACAAACTCCTGGATTTCAAAGCTGCACATGCTGCTCCTTAGCAACCCAGCTAAACAGCCTTCCGCAGCCATGAATCGCGCAGCCCGCTCGCCCTTCCTTTGGGCTGGGTAACCAACAATAAAACTGTGCTCTGTGCTAACAGAGGTAGCAACTGCCAGGTTCACCCCCGGACACTTTATCTCCTACTTTGCAAATAGCAGGAGCTCATTCCTTGAATGTAAAATGTCTCAAGTCTTAAAAGTACAGCCATGTAAAACTTCACGGAGGCCACAGCCTCCAGCCCTAGGCGAGCCAAAATCCCAACCGGCACGAGTAAAACCTGGTCCTAAAACAGCCTTTTGCAGATGCCTCATTCAAGACCTAACGTAGAGCTTTCACTCTCTGTTCCACCTTGAGATGTACAAATATTCCAGGCCAGTACAAGCAAGTTCATAATTATTTCTTAGTTTTATCTGTTTTTCCCTATCCATTAATAATGTCAACAGGTTTCTCGACTGGCCAAAAGCATAAACTTGTCATATTGCCCTGCTCTCACTTCAGTAGTAGCTTGTTAGCCTCTGAGGGCCTACGTTCCCCAAGGCATTTCACAGTGAGGTGTGAGGTTTCTTTGTAAGCTGGCATTTAATGTATTTGCCCTCAGCTAATCACTTTCCCTCCAAACCTGAACTGCAGGCAGCAGCACAAACTGCACCTAAGGAGACAGGCAGAGAACTGCCTCTCCCAATTCCTGGGTCAGTCACCCGAGGAAGAGCACAAGCCTGGAAATTGGGATTGTGGCTCTGGTTTGATGTTTGGGAGAACCTGAGAGTCTAACCTGCAGGTATTTTGGAGACCAACGGACTCGTGCTCTGGCCCGCTTGCCTCCCAGAATGAGCCCGCTCTGATGAGAAACCATAAGCATATGACCCAACGTGAGATAATGCCAAATGCTTACCTGCTTCATCTTCAGCAAAAGAGATGATATATTGATAATAGTTATTGATAAGCCCAGGGAACATGCAGGTCTGTCCTGTCCCCATGCAGATCTCACTGTACTGCCACTCTCCCGTAGCATGGTCCTCTTTCAAAGACATCAAGCGTCTGAAAGGCAAAAATAACTTGCTTCAAGCAACCAGGACAAAGATTTATGAATATTAATCGGGAAAATTAAAAGGATGTTTAATGCTTCCTACCCAAATTAGCTGCAATAGAAACTGCAGCTCCTCCAAGAAATGAAGGATTGCTGATATTAAGGCACCTATATTGCCCAGACTCATAACACCTTGCCTTTCAGGGGGAAGGCAAACACATGAAAATGTGACAGGGGAGGGTTTAAGAGCTGCACTTCAGCACTTCATTGTGTGCGGGGCCCTACTAGGGCCGCGGGATGCCTGGCTTGGCTGCAGCTCTGCGGCCGCTCTCCCGCCCGACCCCGCCACCCCCCAAAGCTGCTGGTGAGTGAATCAGACTGGGGCAGTCAGTGCACGGGGCACCTGGGGTGCAAGGTGGAGGGAGGATCTGTGCTGAAAACGGAGGAGATACAGGTACAGCACAGTGAGAGGAGGTGGGGGAAAATATGCAAGTCTCATGCACCATCACAGGTTTGCACCAGACCCACTACTGGGCAATTTTTTTTTTTTTCCAATATTTTCTGTGTCTGGAAATGCTGAAACAGGGGAAGTTTCTTTAGGATGCACTAGAATGTGTTTTTACACCACTTTCTGGATTTGCAATGAATGTCCGATCCCCAGCCTTTCACTTGTACTGACTCCATGTGAATCAGCAACATCTGTGGCTG